CGAGGCAGTCTGGCAAGCATCTCAGAGCAGCATTGCGCCGACACCACCACGACGTTTGAATCCCGGTGAGAGCACTGCAAACCTCTTAAGTCACGAGGTAAACTTTCAATTTACACAATACATAATCAGTTCCTACAACCATAATAAAAAGGCAGTTTTTCTGGCGAAACTCTCGACAGGTTAGCAATAGTTTCTCACGATCACCTAACCCAAGACACAAACGATAATACAAAGTGTATAAATACCATAACAAGCATAGTTTCTTACCTTTGAAATTGACGAGACACAATTTTGTCCATAGAAGCGTTGCGCAAATAAAGATACAATTCCGGGATACAATATCCTCACAAAATTGACTGATTTCCACAGAGACGAGAACTGCGTAAGCGTCATCATAACTCGGATTAAACTCGGGTAATTTCGGGAAAAGTCGGATTTTGAAGGAAAAATGTTAAAAATCAAGGAAAAACACAGTGAAACTTTGAAGAATCGAAAAAATAACTTGATGTGCACCATAGCACCATCAATTTCTGTCTCTGTACCAACTCTGAACTGAATTGGATCACACATGTGAGAAAAAGCTGGTAACATGAAAATGTGCACACACATTGCACAGACACGACCCAAATTAATTACCCCCCGCCCGGAACACAGATCCGGCGGGGGCTAAAAAGTGCAGAAGAATTTGGCTGACAAAGTCTGGTGGTGAAAAGTTTAGTTATATTCTTGCTACATTATTAAACATATATATATGGAATGCACAGAAGAGTAAGTGCAATGACCGTTACAATATTCTAGTTACAATAAACTGACATTCATTGACAGATTATTTTGCAAATCATTTCATCGTCCTTCACTTAAATTTCAATTAAAGGCTTTAGCCAATAACAGTTAAACACTATAAATAAAGTGGAAATGGGCATCAGATTGATAGAACACTTGACATATGTGCCACAACCAATTATGAAGTAACTATCTAGTACGTAATGTATATCAGCAATAGTGACAAACTGCATATTATTTTACATTAGTTTAAACTGGAGATTAGGAGACATCTGGTTGTTATTATACGAGTAGTCAATAAATCCGAGTTAAGCACTTATCAATCCCACTCCCTTCATGCAACAAGGTTTGAACCAATCAAGTGACGGTCGGGAAGAGTGAACACACCAG